AAATGCAGAAATGGCATCTTTCATTCACAGTGGGCTAAATATAATTAGAAACAGGTAAGGAATTCTGGAAATATTCTTCAGATTTATCATCCCTTCTTTTGTGGAGAAGGTGATGAGACATTAATGTATGTATGGCCTCAGTAATGTTAGAGGGAAACATGTTGTCTTCTAAATATTGTTAATTACCTCCATACGCTCTCACTAGAAATGATGAGTTGTAGTTCAGCATCAACCAGAGGCCATTAAATTTTCCAGAGTTTAAGGACCAGAAAGTTTGGGGTTATTACTATATACAGAGATACAGTATAAGCTGAACATTACATTCTATGTTCAGGTATCATGACTCTTCCTTTGTAGAATTTCAAGATTCCCATTTACTATAGTCCCCTAGGTTTATTTCAAGGATTTCCCTCCCCTGCCTGCCTTTCTTTTTTTGCTAATATTAAGTAAGATGGAATTTTTTAGCATTCTGCATCAGATAAAAAGAAGAGTTGTGAAGGATCAGGCCAAAGGCCTGTCTAGTCCAGCATTCTGTTCTCATGATAGCTAAACAGTTGCCAGTGAAAAGTCCAGGATACAAAAAACAGGATACAAAAAAGCACACTCCCACTCATGTTCTCAGCAACTGTATAAGTATCATATTGTCTCCAGTTCTGGACCAAATACTTAGCCATTATCACTAGTAGCCTTCAACAGATTTATTCTCTGTTAATTTGGTCTCAAGGGCCTGATTCATGATCCATTTTCTGATGAGCATGACTATGTTCATTTGCTTGCTTTGACTTTGGCCTCTCCTTATGAATCCTTGCTTGCCCCAACTCCTGATGACCTTGTTGAAAGTCAAATTGATACAACTTTATGACTGCTTTGTATTTGGCTCCTATTACCACGTAATGGCCTGCCGTTTCTGTTAGATGCCTCTATACCTTTTCCCCCCATGAAAACAGTGGTTTTCTCTGTTTCTTTGGGGTACTTTGATTTAGATTTAATAATAGTAATTTGTGCCTTTAACTTAGTCTTGATTTCTGAAGACTGCCTGGACAAGTTTCTGCATTTTTCTTGGCAAGATTTTGGAAGTGGTTTGCCATTGCCTTCTTCCTAGGGCTGAGAGAGCATGACTGGCCCAAGGTCACCTGCTTTGTGGTGAAGTCAGGACTAAACCTCAGAGTCTCCCAGTTTCTAGCCCAGTGCTGTTAACCCTTACAAGAAAATGGCTCTGATTTAGATTTAAAGATCTATAAAAATTTTACTTTCCTTTGCCCCTTGAGTAAGGTATATAAATGTCATGATCAATGCCCACATATGCTGGTTGTCCTTTGGTGCCAACTTCAACATTTCATTTTTACTAATCTCATTTCAGTCTCCACTTGCCCATGAGGCTTGAGCTTTTAGTTTTATATTGTTTTATCAAAAGTATGTAAAATAGATAACATTTTATCCAATTAATATAATTTGTTAAATTTATTAAACAGCAGATTGCATTATAATTTTGATGGACCTTAGATTACAGTTTATTCAACCACAAACACATTTTGGACTAGACTCTTTCACCTTTGCACAGAACAGCAGTGAGTAAATAATTGTGTTCCTGGAGATGCACCAAGAATAACACTTTATTAAAACATATATTTTTGCTACGTCCTAAAGCTATGTTCTGGGAAGAAGTAATAACATATATTTATTTGACTTTGAGAAAGAGTTTAATATTTTTGGATTGCCCTATATATATATATTTTTTTGAATTACATACCTAGTACATGGAAATTGACAGCTGGAAATGGATTCTCTGTGCTCTTCTTATTGTTAAGAAACTAGCCCTTCAATGTGGGAAAGATAAATTTATGGTCCTAATTACTCAGTAAATTGAAGACTTCATGTTGCTTATGATTTATGAAGAAGTTGCTTTCATAGGTTATGAATTATAGACACTTACAATGAACTGTAGTTATCCTTTATTGAAAATGTGTAAAAATTTCTGAAAAGCCCTTGTATATATAATTGTTGTTTTTACTTTTTCATTTTATTAAATAAAGGCACATTTTTAAGAGTTTATTACAAGTCTTCAGCATGAACTCATTATTTTAAAAGGCTTCCATGTATTTAAGAAAGCTCATTCTCTTATCTGTCTATCTCAGAATAAGTGGCAGAAGCTGGAGAGTAGGAAGAAGAAGAAGCTGGAGAGTAGGAATGTTGCAAGCCTCTCAGAAGGAGAAGTCAACCTCTTGACCTCTTTCCTGACCAGGAACCAGGAGGGGCATCTGGGTTATCTGCCCTGGAGTTTTGCATATTGTAACATTACATGTACTCAGTTGACATGTAATCAATATTCATGTCAAACTTTTGAAGGCCAGTTACACCCAAGTGTAATGTTTTTGCAGAGGTCTTGAAAGAGAAAAAGTAGCACAATGTTACACAAATCTCAACAGCTAAAGACTGTCAGCTAGGGTGGGGCTTTTTTCATTAGCTTTGTAAACACCCTTGGATGAACAGGAGATGTAATCAACCATTTATCAAATAAGGAAGATATCTCCAGATGTTCTGAACTTGCAGTGTTTCCAAAAACTCACTCCTCTTTCCTAGGCTCAGAGAAGGCTACCCTAATTGCTTTTATAAGTATGTGTTGAATGGCAGAATCTTCATGCTGCTAATAATGTTTTTCACTATCCTATGGCATCTCTCTCTCTCTCTCTCTCTCCCTCTCTCCCTCTCTCTCTCTCTCTCCCTATATATATACACATACATACATACATGATGCAACATCATATTGAATATATTCCTCAAGAAGCTACTCTATAACATCTTGGGCTGTAAAGTTAGTATCAGAATAAAATAAAGAGCATGATCCATTAAAAATTAAGCACTTCACTTCATTGGTTTCAGTTGGTTAAATAGGATCTCAAAATTTATATTCCTGAATCATAATAAAATTATTTTCTTTCCACATTATACAGTGTGAACAGGTTATAGAAATTTATAGCTGTTTCAGTGTCAAAAGCAGGAGATTTATCTTACTTAAAAAGCAATTACCACATCCATAACATGGTAATTATTAGAACAAACAAGAAGAATGATGATTGTCCCTACAGATTTCTTCAATCCTCTACAGCTATATTTTTACAAACTAAGTCTATGGAGCAATTACCTGTATCAGCAGAAGAGCAAAACACCATGATAAAAGCAGGAATACAAATGGAAACATCTAGGTTGTCAGTCTTAATGTATTACATGATATTGACTCTCAGGTTTAAATATTTTCCAATACAGAATGTAGGGACCAGTTTCTAGTCAGTCTACTACAGTGTTTCTCAACCTCCTGGCTGCCTGGAGAATTCTGGGAGTTGAAGTCTACACAGCTTAAAGTTGCTAAGGTTGAGCAACACTGGTCTACCAAATAGAGATACTCACTATTTACATCATAGTATCTAGGAGATCTTGACTGTTATTACTGTAATATGCCCCTCAAGGCTATTGCTCTAAATTTGGGGGGGGGGGGAAATCCTCTTACTAATTTTAGTGGGCCTTTACATCCAGTTAATATTTTTAGATCTGCTGACTTTGGGCAATCCATACCACAGACCTCATTGCAGAAAATCTTGGGAATTGTGGTTTTACAAGGAAAGTCCTTTGGAGGTTTTTCACTAATCTGTTTGATTGGGCAGTAATTGTGATAAATGAGGCTATACAAAACAATATATGTGTAATGCAGATATACCACAGCTAAGGGACTTTATGGTTTACAGCATAGACATGATGGTTAACTAGAGATTCTAAAAATAAATTAATTATTCATTTTTTCACTAACGTCTTTTTCATTTCATCCCACCATCATGATTAGCAATTAGTTATTGAGTAAAGCTTTTGTACTGAGTTCTCAATAAAGATAAAGTGTCCCTTGAGTGAAAATCGAACTCCTGGTGACTACATGGACTCATTCGCATTACTTTTCTGGCAAGAATAAAGAAATGATTTCCCATTGTCTTTTTTTCTTTTCTTTTTTGTAACCTAGAAAGCTTTTGTAATTGACAAATTGTACATAAGGGAGAAATTTGGCACCCATTTTTTTTTACTTGGCAAACATTTTTCATAGCCTCATTACATTAAACTACCACTGTGATCTTGTATAACCAAGACATGCATGAGTAACATAGCAAGGGACACACAAAGCAAAATATTATCTAAAAAGATTTGTCTGGAATAACCTCTTGCCAAACAAAGCTAATCTAGAAGTAAGCCTAAGATTTGGCTGACCATGACTCTTAAAGTTCTTATGTGATATTAGAAAGGCCAAATGTTTTTAGAAGCAATATATTCATTCATATTTGTTTTGATAATTGTGCCATTCTGATGAAATATGTAAGGATTAAGTCAAATCTACTGGACTTAATCCTCTTAGGTGGATTAGGTGGACCTCAGTCTGATCCTCTGATATGATTAGATTTTATTAATGTTGGGCGTCATCATATTCACATTCAGCAGTTCATGAAAAAATTCAAGCCTTAATTCAGAAGTTCAAGGAGAAAAAGCATTCCAAAGGCACTTTTTTATTCACAAATGATTACTAACTTGAGACATTTATATCCTGGTTCCACACTGTATTCTCAAAGCACTTCACAATACAAAGCACTTTAAAATACTTTAAAAACAAAATAATACCAAACAAAAACATTCAAAAAGGGAGGAAGAAATAGTTACACCAAAAAAGTAAGTTCTAGCTTTCTGGTTCCAGGTTAATCTGAATTGGAGACCATATTCCCTATCTCATAAATATTAAGAAAGGTGCACCTCTTAGACCAAGGAATTTCTTGCCATCTTATTTCAGGTAGCCATCCACCTCACCCATAACAATGGTTACATCTTCAACAGAGGCTGCTCAGGTGATTCAGTCATGAAGACGAATATACTACAGAAATGTTATTTTGGTAACAGCAATTAAATGTAGATACAGAGTGTGACATTTCCATTGCAAAAGCTACAATCAGACAATTTTAGATCTCTGTCACCTGTTGTCATTCCTGTTTCATTCCTCTGTGCTTTCTATTCCAGTAGGCCAGGAGACATTAATGTTTCCCCAAATAATCTTCATATAATAGAAGGAAAGAAAGATTTTTTTCTTATAGCTAGTAAAATCTCCACAGGTCTACCTTACTGCCCATGGCCATGGGATCCCATTATACTGCAGCAGAAGATAATCTCACTGCACCACAGAAGGCCTTCTTATAAGTGTCTTCTATGAGTTTTGTTGGAAGAGCTGTCTTTGTTCATTCTTCTCTTGTGGTCAGAGCTGTTAGCAACAGCTGACATATTACGCACTACCCCTTGCTGAGTAACTGGGAAGAGATAAAAGAGAAAGGAAAACACAGCTGCAAGCTCTGATACTCTCACAAGGGTGCCACCAAGACTCAGAACTGCTGTAAATTTGAAAGCATTTCCTGACCATGCCGGCTTCCAGGATAAGATAAATTTCTCAAAACAGGGGTCTAGGAAGCCAAACTTTCTATATAAGGCCGTTCTAATTTATTAATTTTTTTTCAGATGAGCAGCCTAATTAATTAGCATTTCACCATTCAAGAATGGCTATGTAGTTAACTGCTTAAAGACAACGCTACAGTACCGCTCTATATGCAATCTAGTGTGATCAACCATGATTCAAAGTCTTCCACATCTCACTTATAGCTGATGCAAACCATAGAATATTAATAATTCCCAGCATCATAGGCTTTCTTTAGGCATGATACTATCCTGCCATTAAGCACCTCTGTAACACTGCTGGAGTGGTAATTCAGGAATGAGACTAATAAATCCTCAATGTATGAACAATACATTGCTTTATTAATCCAAGTGGAGCAGTGGTTGTTTTGAGCTGGTACCTGAGCAGAGTTCTAGTTTGGATGAATAAATTGAAGCTCAGTTCAGACAAAATGAAGGTACTAATATGGATCTGGAATTGAATGAGTAAGAAATGGCATTAAAACAGTTAAATATGCAAATAATAAAAGACAGTTCTTAGAAAGACAAAGAAAGGGAACATAATATATTGGCAATGAGCCTATTTTTTTCAATTTAACATTGGTGTAGCAAGAAGAGATATTCTTATAAACTTCATGTGGATATATTCATCAGTTTTAACTGTATTTTCTGACATGGAGGTAGAAATCTGTAGTTTTTTCCCATTATTAATACTTATAGCAACACACCTTACCTTGTATACCTTGTATATATATTTTTTCCTGAAGTGGGCAAGTATTCTTCACTGAATATGAAACTGAATAGGCAGCATGATGTATGGTGCTTACCATTCACAATCTTGTCCCTCCTTCTTAAGCAATGTGTGCCTATTTGTAACAGTGTCAACAGCACACCATGACGATGCCATAATGACAACATGTGTGTGTTTATGAAACCATGTAAATGTAACCGCTATATGTGTGTCCAGGCACCTGACCCTCGGATATCCTTGCCTATTTTAATGTAGTGTTTCCATAGGGAGACTGACTACACTAATTACTTTTCAGTTGGGCTCTGAAGTGGGCATGAGGGAAGCACAACAGCCCATGTGCCCAAATAATTTGAACTACAGCCTTAACAACAGGACTGAGGCAATTTTAATCTGTTCCCTAATGCAGTTTGTTAGAATAGAGATTTCTCTCTGGTTTCTGCTAGAGTCTGTCATCTTCATAAATTGTTCAAGTGGACTGGAAGTTGCTGGTTCAACAAGAATGAAAAAGAGTAAAGGTGGAGTGACATAGTGGGCTGAGGCCAATATTCCAACAGGTAGCAGCAAAACCTTGAAGCACTGTGGTTGCCACTTGATCTGTCCTCTACTTTGTAAGCTGTTGGCTATTACCCTCAAATGGCACAGATAAAGCAGAGATGAAGCAACTGGACAGAATCTGTAGATGTAATAAGACAAAAAGTGTTTTAGCCTTTGCCTCAGGTAGGAAAATGTCTTAGGTGAGTGATAGCTGTAAGATTTCACTTGGCTCTGATAAGCTACCAGCTACCTACTTCTTAATCCAACACTGGAGAAGGCAAAGTAGAAACCTGGGGGAGGGACACGCTGACATTCATAGAGCCTTTCAAATTATATTAAAAACTTGTCAAAAATCTTATAAGACGGTGAACTCTTGTAAGAATTTGATGCCCCTGCATGAGATCGCTGAGATTTCAAGCAAGAATATCAACATCTCAAAAGATTTTGGTGTTATTATATGAGATTGCATAACAACTTGGTATCCTTATATGACATCATGCAAGATTTTAGGGGTAAAGATTACCAACATCTCATGAAATTTATGATACTGGGAAATATCAGCCTTTCTTTCTTTTCAGTTCTAGCACCTGAAAGGTTATTGACCATGATCTAGGAAAACAGAAATCTTGCTGGGCTCATATTGTTGCTGCTTCTAGGTTTGCTTCTAGCCCTAGGAAGAATTAAAAGCTAAATATATTTACACATCATTTGGTGATTTTTTAAAAGGCCCCAAAGGTATTTAACCTTGGCTGGATTGTGTCCAAAGTTTGTAGACAGACCAGATGGAAAAGCTAGAAAATTTTGCTAAAACCACTGATTGAGAAACTCCTCTATAATCTTCCAGGCATTCCAAGATACTTCTTTCTGAGCACTTCAGAATCAGCATAATGCAGTCAGATTTGCTTTTCAGCTCTTTAAAATTCTACTTCTATTTTCTGTCATTTGCAGATGATCAGGTTGGGTAGCAATCAGGCCCTCAGCATGTTGCTGCAATATGGAAAGTGTCATCTGCAGGGGGAACATACTAGTTACAAAGATTTTCACCGAAGGATAAACTGAAAATGCATCTCCTTTTCCAGAATTAGAGAGTACTTAATGGTTGCTAACACATTTTTGGACAAACTAGCTGGAACTATAATAACCAGTAATTTATAAAATCACACTTGATGGGAGACCATAAGTTAGACAGTGAAAATATGGAAGACTAGCTGTGGTTTTCAATGTATCCACCAGTTCCTTGCCTTAAAGAAATAGGCAAACTGAAATATGCTTGATTCTTTTTGATTTCTAGCTGCCTTGTCTTCTTTCATTAAAGTCAGTGGAAATTCAGGCTGACTGCAATCTAATATTCTGTTGTAAATTTCCTGAGAGTAAGCTCTATTGGGATTTACTTTTAAATAGAAATGCATAGGACTATGCCAGATATCTTCATTTTGGCTAGTTAGAACTCCTAATTTTATTTTGTGAATTTTCCTCTTAGGGAAGAACTGTATATTATCAAACTCACTGAGCTCCCTGAAGAGACATCCTGTATCACAGTAAATGGAGAAATGTGGTTTGCATTTCATGAAATGTTGTTCATTCAGTGAAGGAAAACTGCATTACACTAAGTGGCTTCACATGGTAAAATGGACAAGTTTTTTAATCTAATAATCAATTTATTGTTGCCTATATTATAGCATAAAACCTATAATAGAGGGCAACAAGAACTCTACAGAACATATTATCACTAAATTATAGTTGGTGCATGAATAATATCTGTTTATTAGTAACATTCTTATTACCTATGCTGTGGAAGCATTCCACTGACTTTTATTATTTCAAGGAATAATTTAAAGATCTACCCAGAAATCCCACTGATCACACGGAAACCTATTCATACAAATAAAACCTACGTGCAGCAGAAAATGGCAGTCACTTTCCCACACATCAAATAATGGAAAGCTCCTGCAGGCACCAATCATTTATTATCTCAGAAATGCCTTTATTTGATTATTAGAGAAGTAGCACCATTTGTTATCTTGACTTAGTATTTCTGATTTCTTTTGCATGTTGATTATTGATGTGACTCTCTCACACACATGAACACATACCTAGTTCCTAACTATTTGGTGGATGAAAGAATCAAAGAATCAACATTAGCAGGTGCTTTTTGAACATTTTTGTTTCTGATTTTTTTTCTTGCTATGCTACTTAAGGATAAAAGCTCCAAGAACACTGTATCACCTAAAAGAATTCAGTAAAAGAATGGTTTAATCACAACTGTTCATTTCAAACAAATCACAGAAAGAGAGCACAGAGAAGTGTCCCTTTTTTGATCCAAATGTCTATACATACACCAGGCAGAGGACTTCAGAACATGTTTATCCTCAACTATGAAAAATATATCCGGTATTATAAAAGCAACTGGGAGCACTGAACTTATTTTGGCCTTACAAAAATGAACTATTTGCAAAAAGGTCTGTTGCTTTTCTACAAGCAAAGGAGAGTTTTGACAACTTTTGGATTCTGATCCAATGGAATTGTCCAATGAAAATGTTTCTAGGATTCTGTCTAGACTAGAGGTTAAAGATACATGGTTAGCAATATGCACTATTACAGGCTAAATAATACATTCTGGAAGACTGATAGTGAGAACATCTTCCCCAGAGCGAGTCCTTCCTTCCTTCCTTCCTTCCTTCCTTCCTTCCTTCCTTCCTTCCTTCCTTCCTTCCTTCCTTCCTTCCTTCCTTCCTTCCTTCCCTTCTTCTTTCCGCATTATGTTTCAAACATCCTATGAAGTTTATCCTTTCTGAGAACATAGAGATTGCTGGTATGCTATCTGAGGTTGGTGGTATGAACATATTACAAACTTTAAAAAAACCCTCTTACCTAGTTACAGGATTTAAAATAAACATTTCAATAGTAACAGCATTTATAAAGGGAGGAGCATGTATGTGTATGTTGGGGTCCTTGTCTTTCTGATAAAGCCATCAGGGATTCTTCTCTATTTTATTTCTACCAGTCCTCATTCTATTAGTTGAGAGAGAATTTGCTGTAGAAAATCTTTTAAAAGAAAATACAATTTTTGAGAAATTCACAGTATTAAGGGTGGTGCTCTCTTCTTTCCTTCAAAGTGGCCAAGAGATATGCATAAATATACACTTTTTGTTCATCCCTCTAGCAGCATGTATCATTCCTGGCTTCCCATAGCTCAGTGACATTCAAAGGGAAACTCTGCCCTTTGAGGGTTTTCACTAATGGCACTACTGTACTGTCACTGTTAAAAAGAAATCCTGCCTTTTGAAAGTTTTTCTTCCCAAGAAATTCAGACAAGTTGTTGGAGAATTTCTCCTTCTCATGGAGAAGTTCCCAAAAATCACCCACCCAATTTCTCTGCCCCAAAATTTAGTGAAGAATTTTGAAAAGGGCATTTGTGCCGAGCTTTCAGGAGTGAGAAAAAAGTAAAGGAACATACAGTGAAGTAGATATACAGCAGAGCAGACAAATCGCCAAT